GACTTGGAGCGAGGGAGAGCAATTCAAGTCAACACTGTCCACTACCCCGATGCACGTGAGGACGAGCTGGTGCGTGCGTAAAAAGACGGAGGGAGGGGTAGGGCAGCGCGCCTTAGTCATAAGTCCTGTTCATCCGATGCTCTGGAATCTCAACCTCGACAGAATGCCAAGAGTGCTTGGTCCTACAAGAGCCATGTCACTGTGTTAACTTCAAGGACTTGGCACAAGACAGAAAAAATAAAAATATAAACAAAATCAAAACTCTCCCTGCTGCTCCTCCTTTCAAGCTTCTGCAAAACTTTAAACCTCGGGACTCGCCCAGCTTCTGCCTGCAGCCTCCGGACTGCGCTGCTCCACCTCTCACAGCGGACGCTAAGGATAAGTAGTTTCAGGAAAACTCGTCAGGGTGAGGAGACTAATTCCTTTTCCATTTCCCAAGACCCTATAGCTCTAAAAAAGAAAATTGGTTAATGTTTCTCTTTTTATATTCCTGGCAAAACTGGGGGCGTGGGTGGCGCAAAAGAATAGGACTGTTAACAGTATTTGGTAGATGTATTTCAAACTGTCAACAAGGAAAAAGTCATCCTCCAAACTGCGACAAAAGTCCTGTAAAATGAGGACTAAATAGCCTTCAATAAATTAGGTCATTTTCACTTCTGATATTTTCAAAGACACCCTTCAATATTTTGTAAGGGTGATAAGAAAAGCACAAACAAAAATGCATCTCAATCTCCCACTATTGTCCTGTACTTACAAAAGATATATACTCTGTGGTCTTTAGCGTTCCTATTTGTTCAAATGAACTCCGATACATCACATTCATGGGAGGTGTTAGTTTAAGAGAATTGCCTATCTTCGTAAGTCATAGTCACACACATACACTGGACCACAGCATATACGAGTGTATACATGCATTTAACATATGCTCAAGAACTCCAGAATGTCATATTCAACAGCAGTACCCCAGTAAAATTCAGAGTTAATGGATGTTTTAAAACAGATGTCTTATTTCTCTATTCCAATGGTTGCACCTTGATTTTTCATCAACAGCATTAGTAAACCCTATGGCCAGCTTATTGTTATGAGGTTAACCTAGTCATGCCAATGGAAAAAGACAAAAAGGTTCGTTTATCAGTTTCATTCTGTTATATCTGACATGATAAAATCATGTTTTTCTATTTTATTGAAACACATCAATACAATGTGAAGAAAAGAATGGACGTTTTCGAGCAGCATGAGGTTTTAATCAGAAACAGATTGCTAATTGCTGAAAAGCAAGTATGAATAAGTAATTCCGTAAACTCCTTGGGTTGCCATAATTCACTATCAGGTATACTTATGGATCTGTCAAATGTGTTTCACTCCCTATATAAGTTCTTTCATGAAAAACAACCCGCGATAATAATCAAGAGGCAGATGCTGAAATATGCAAGTAAATAACTGAAAGCCTCTGCATAAATAAACACAAATCAATGTCGTAATAGACAACACTATTGATGTAGGAAAGATCGATTTTAGTCTTCCAACCTGCAATCAGAGCTGGCAATGTGTAATTAAAAGTATATTTTTTCAACTCCACTAATACTACTACTACTGGAAAAATAAATAAATAAACAATTCCTGATGCCAGTTCTATGTGATTCTACTTTATTCCTTCCAGAGTATGTTTTTGATGGGGTAGGAGAAGTATTCTATTTTTTTCTAAGAAAGCTTTGCCAAACTTTGGAACTACATCATTAATTACAGAAATTATAAAGGTATCAAATAATAAAATTACCACCTTATTCTTGCTCTGAATTTTCCAACCTTCATTCTAGCCTCTAATTATTCATTCAGCGCATTTTAATAGGAAAAAAACACACGATAGTGCTTATTATTTTTAAAGTTTTTTTTTCAACTACTGTAGTACATTTCAACTTAAAGGTTCTTTGGGCCTTTTGTTAAAACAAGTAAGAATGTCATTTCCTCAATACATGATGGAAGCTCTCACACCTAAGCCTGCATATGCAAGGACTATGAAACAAGGAGGAAGAAACCATCTGCATTATTTCAAAATTGTTTCATATAATGAGTGCAAAACAAACTAGTGTTTGACTCAAAGAAATAAATATACTTTGGATTTCTAGAAATTAACATCTAAAAGAATGTTTTAGATTTTGCTAAAAGTTAAATTTTCTTTTTGAGAATATGTATCCCTGGAGGGCAGAATTGATTTAGATTAGCAAGCCCTGGTGTGTGATGTGTTTGAATATTTAGGTTCTGGAGAATAATGAAAATACAATGTTCATATATTTTCTTCATCAACAAGGATGCTTATTTACATTCATTCTTGAATCTAGGCTTCTCAAGCACCAGCCTTTAAACAGTGTCTTATTTATAAAATGCAGTCACTTTGAACGTGACTTTTTTTTTTCTATGTAATATCACTGGCACATAAGTATTGATTTTGATTATCTTTATAATATCGTATTACCAAACATTCTCCTTGACTCCTCTCTTTCTCATCCAGGGCTAAGTATTCAGGGGCTACCAGATCCAAAAGGAAAATATCATCAGTTATTGTTTAAGGCTAATTTAACAGATAATTTAACTTCAAACAACAATGATCAGGTCATTAAATTTCAGAGCAGTGAGAAAATGAAAGAACTGAGAGACAACTCTCCCTAACCCCATTACAGTTTTTAGTCTTCCTGCTCAATCAACGGAATCAAAAAACGGCTACGGAGGAAGCTATGTTTGCACCTTAAACGCACTGTTTCAAAGAATGAGACAACAGGAGGAGATGAAGAGGGGGGAGTAAACTGAGGAAGGCAACTCCTATCAGGGAGCGCCAGCGGTGTAGGAAAGTTCAGCTTCGGCCGAAAATGAATATCCAAACGTGTCTGATAACTGAACGCTCCCTTTCATTCCATCAGGAATCGCCAAACCTACTTTCCTCCCATGCGGCTTTTCCGCAAGGCCGAAGACAGGGAAAGAGCTATACTTGCTAGGCAACAGACCACCAAAAATGTCGTGGGCGTTTTATCTCTTCTCCCCCCACACAAACATAATTTTGAGAGTTATTTGTTTCACTGTAAATGCCTTTTCTGGTCACAACGATCTCGGGATGTCTGCCCACCTCAAGTTTGGGTAGAGGACCCGGTGAGGATGGTGTTGAAGCAAGACATTTAGTCTCACCTGCAGGAGGCGGAGGCTGGGGGGTGGCAGTCAGAAGCGACCCGTCTCCCTTTTCTGCATCCCCCTTTCCTTCCTGTCTCCGTTCCAAGGCTGGAGAAACCTCCTGACAGTCTCCCGCACACGCGGGCTCCTCTGCCCACCAGAACCCCTGCCTCCCGGTCGGCAGCTCGGGCCGACCTTAACTGGAAGAGGATTCCTACCCCGAGGCGACCTCCTTTCCTGTACGATCCGTCCACCTCAGGCCACAGGCTTGGGCAGAGACGCAAAACAGGGTAGAAGGCTAAAGGAACGTGGGGTAGGGAGTGGAAACAGGGGAAAATGACTATTACAGAGAAAACGGTTTTATCTACTAGCAGATAAGTGCTGAGATCTGAAACCGCAGCGGGCAAACAAAAGGAAACAACTTTCAGAGCGAAAGAGGTAGGGTGGGGTGGGGTAAGGGGAGTGTGTGTGTGTGGGGGGGTGCACAACAGAAAAAGAAGAAAAGGGAAAGGTGGGGAGGCGCGCCAGCCAAGGTTCTGAAGTCACTTTTCCTGGCATCAACCAATGCGAGCTACTGAACGCGACACCACGCTTGTCCTGGGCAAGAGCGCCCTCGCGTTGCTGCTCCCTGCGCAGCGCCCGCGCCACCCTCTGCGGGAGTCGCCGCCTCGTCCTGGGAGCGCCGGACTTTCCCGGCTACCGCGCAGCCGGCGCGGCCCCAACGCCGCAGCCTCGGCTGCTCCGCTACAGCGGTCCAAACCCCGAGAAAACAACGCCGCCGGGTCCCTGCCGCGGCGACTTCAAGTCCCGCCATCGTGCCACCTCTCTATCTTCACCCAGGGGTCCCCGAAGCGCCGGAAAGCCGAAGTGACAGGACACCGCAGTGAAGGGCCCCACTTTCGCCTCGGGCCAAGCCAACCTGTGTCTGGCGCGCGCTCGCAGTCACTCTGGGACAGCCAGGCTCTCGAGCGCACACCGACGTCTCCTAAGTGTGCATTAAGAATCAATTATTTGCCTGAGATTTCCAAAGCCAGAAACTGGGATATTCCCAGCAGGGACAAAGTCAAGCCCAGAACGGTGCTCATTTCCCTCGTCTTTCGAAGAGAGCCCAGACAAGCCTCCCGCACGCGTCCAGGCGCCTCACTTGACGTGGAGCCGCCCGGCTACCCCTGGCGGGGATCCTCGCCTGACCCAGGCCAAGGAGTTGGGGGCGGAGGGCCAGCTCTGGGGGAGGCTGGCAACGTTAGTGTGGAAATAGGGAGAGGAAGGGCGATTGGAAGGAAGGAAGAAGGGAAGGAAGGAAGGAGGGAAGGAGGGAAGGAGGGAAGGAAAGAAGGAAAGAAGGAAGGAAGGAACTTTAAAGATAGGCAAGTTTCTTGGTTCTCTGGAGAGAAGAGATTTAACTCGAATAACGAGAGCAAATAACCCTGGATTTGGACGTTAAGAAAGTCCCACCGTTCCCCCAGCAGCCACAGGCCTCATAAATCATATTTCCATGAGTGAATTTTTTTTACACTTTAGGACTTATTTCAGTTTCCCACTACCTCTTCTCCATATAAATCCATCTCGTCTTCTCTCCACGTCCCTGTGCTGTGTCTACATTCTCTTTACCTAGGGATTCACCGTGATTTCTGTCAACGTGGAAACAAAAACCAAAACCCATGCATCCTTTCAGTTCGGCCTGTTGGTAGCGCGCTCGCTAAGGGACATTTTCCAAGAAAACACTAACACTTAAGCCCAGGTACTCAAGTTCGCGGTTTAAAATTCAGTCAAAAGCAGTCAGTCCCATGTAACTCTCCACCCGGCCCTGCCCGGCCCTTCCGAAAAGCATTTTCACTTACCAATCGTGGGGTCAGTGCGCTCCCAGCTCCCAGTCATCTTATCTTTTTCCTTCGCATCCTTCGGACAACCTCAGTCTTGGGGGGGGGGGGGGGG